GAACTTAAGAGTTACGTTGATAGAAACTGAATCATTTTTCCTTAAAAATTAGCCTCATAGTTAAACCTCATTTGTCAGTAAAATTTGCAATTCGTTTGACAAGTAGCAAAGGATCTAAGATTATATATACATCTCTAGTTTGCTCAAGTGCTAAATGCATATTTGACATGATTGTATCCATAGGTCCAATGTACCCTGAAGTAATCGAGTTTATATTTTATAATAGTCTTATATGTGAGATGTATTTCAGAATGTCCTAGCGAACTTGTTAACTTCATTCTTTAAGCTCTCAATAACAAATATATGGATACTCAAGGAATGCATATGACATAAGCAAAAGTTCAGATTACACTTGAAAGACTTGGACTTCCAAAATATACTCAAACTAGTGCTGTTTTTATTTGAGGCATGAACGTTGGAAATATGCATGACGTACGAGTATTATTTGAATTAAAGAAAGTTAGATATATCTTTCATTTATATGATTTTTGTTCCTCGGACTTATGTTTTTTCTCCTGACCAGATTTCAGAATTTGTTCGAATGGAAGCAAAAAGAATGTAACTGCTTATACAATAGTTGGAGTTCTGTCAGCATTTTCTATTCTCATGATACTTGGCATCCTTCGGCGGAAAGGCAATTTGAGAGGGAGAAAACAAGCTGGAAAAGGTGATGCTTTTAATTGTTTAAACATAAGCAGATTTGTTGAATCATAAGCTATTTATATCAATCAAGTCAAATGTTTTAGTTTAAAGGATCTATTGAGTCATAAGCAGTTCAAATTTTTTACATTATGTCTTTTCTTTGATTTTATCTGTATTTTATATCTGTTATAATGCACACACATTCTTTGTTTCTTGACTTTTATAGTCCAAATTTTCTTTACCTCTAAGAATATTTGTTTGATCGGAAAATGCAATAATGAATAAACAAAGGCTTATTTTGACATCACGGGACATTCACCTTACTTGTATTTATTGGGGCAGGTTTTGAAGATTTAGAATTGCAAACAATTGCTTTTAGTTTGAAACAAATTAAAGCCGCCATTAACAACTTTGATGCTACAAACAAGATCGGAGAAGGTGGTTTCGATTCTGTATACAAGGCATTGTTTATTGGTGAAAGATAATTAATTTCATCTTCCTTTTCCTTACTCATAGATTTCTGATTGACGAATTGGTATAGGGTCAACTATCTGATGGTACCGTAATAGCTGTAAAGCAGCTCTCGTCTAGATCAAGGCAAGGAAATCGTGAATTTCTAAATGAGAATGACATTATTTCGTGTTCACAACACCCAAATCTCGTCAAACTGTATGGATGCTGTATTGAAGGAGATCAATTTCTGGTAGTGTACGAGTACATGGAAAATAATAGCTTTGCTCATGTTTTATTCAGTAAGTGTTTTCTTATATAGTACAGCTTCTTTGGCATTTCAATTTTTGCCGACAATAATACTGTTCATATTCAAAGGAAAGCCAATTAATGCTAGATTGGCCAACAAGGTTCAAGATCTGTATTGGAATTGCTCGAGGATTAGCTTTTCTTCATGATGAATCAATACTTAAAATAGTTCACTTAGACATTAAAGCCACTAATGTGTTGCTAGATAGAGTTCTAAACCCTAAAATATCGGATTGGCTAGGCTTAACGAAGACAAGCAGACTCATATTAGCACTAAAGTTGCTGGAACAATGTGAGTTTGAATTGTTAATACAAATATCAAATTACTAGTCCTTTTTACCTTTTACCTTAACATGTACGTCTTGATTGCAGAAGATATATAGCACCTGAATATGCATTATGGGGTTATCTGGCAAAGCGGACGTTTATGGCTTTGGAGTTGTGGCTTTGGAAATTGTTAGTGGCAAAAGCAATAATAACTACATGCCAAACCACAATTTCATTTGCCTTTTAGATTGGGTATTAAAAAAAACATCATTCACCTCTTCATTTCATTATACATCCATTATCTGTGCACATTTTCTTGATAACTTGTTTCATTGCTACATAATTATATTGCAGGCTTCTCACTTGCAAGAAAGTAAAAACATAGATGAACTTGTTGATCTGAGGTTGGGTTTTCGAGTCAACAAAGAGGAAGTAGGAAGAACATAGCTCTCCTGTGTACCAACATAAAGCCGTCCATCAAGCCTACAATGTCCGAGGTAGTTCAAACGCTTGAAGGACAAATGGCGATTCCAAATGTTCTCACGGTGGGAAGCATGTATACAGATGATATGAGGTTTAAAACCATGAAAGACTTCCATCGGGAGAGGCAAAGCGAAAGTTCCAGTGGAACCCAAACTCAGAATTCAACAACAATACAAACTGATGCAGATTTTTCATCATCTACCACTAATCACTAGAGATACGATATCATATTGAGGAATCCTGACAATATTTTGGTTGCAACTATATCTTTTCATTGAATTTGGCATCTTATATATTTGTAATTTAATTTTGAGTTGGGGAGAATTGTTTTATGTGTAATAATACTAGGAATTCTTTCTTACTCAGATGAATATTTGTTGTAAAAGAAAGATCACATCGTTACAGTCCTAATTCCCTATTGCCAATAAGCAGTTTTTATCTTCTCAAACGGGGGTAGAAGATCAAGAGATGAGATATACGGTCCAATTTTACTGTCCTAATGATTGTCTATCCAAGAATTATTGACATTTCAGCAATTTAATAAGTCGTAGTGAAGTTAATGATTATTGATTATATATTAATAATTTATTAGATGGATAGCCATTTAAACAGCAAATTTCAACTCAGCTCGAATAGACAATTCTACACATTGATATGTACAATCTCTAAATTAGCTCATGTTTGGTTTAGATTAAAGCAAATAAAAACTTTAAGTCAACGTAAATAATTGATGTTAATTATACATTTTGCGGGATCTATAACATTTCAATTATTCATTTTATGAATTTTTATCAAAATTTACTAAAAATTTGATTTTAATATATACCAAAAAGGAGCTATATATGAGAATGGTGTAATTTCGGTTTATTATAAAATTCCAATCTTTTCTTTTAGCTTTTGAAAGTAATGTTTCTGTAATTTCCTCTGTATATTAAACCAATAATTGGCCCTTGAAATTTAAAAATCTTATCCCATAGCCCTAGTAAAATCATTGACTCTCTGTGTATAATGTAAATTTACAAATTAATTGAAGTTAATTGACTTACTCGATCTCTTTCAGAACAGAATATTACTACTATTAGATATAGATCATATTCAAGTTTTGAAGCCTTTTGACTCAAATTAAAAAGGAGGCAATAAGCTTAAGAAGACAGCTATTGTGGATTCTTATTGCACGTGTTAATATACTTTGGATTAAATATAGTCGAGTAAAATAAATAAATTTTTAATTGATTAAATATTTATTAATAAAATAAAGTGATAATCCGCAAAATAATTTTTTGATAAGAAATTATTGCGACAATATTTTCAATTTTAACTCAAAAATTTTTTTCTTCATTTTTCTCCCAAAAAAAAAAAAAAAAAACACTACACTGCTAGAGCTAAACAGAGTACGGATGCAAAGAAAATTGTTTTCATTGTAATCATAAACTTATAATCTACAAAATAATGTGTTTGTTTGGAAAATTGAAACTTAATTTTGATAAAAAAGAGTGATGAGTCTCACGAAATAAGCGGCAAAAATTAATGATTTATTTTAACATCAATTCTTTAAGGGTGTGTTTGATTGTGAAAATGAAATTTACATGAAAAGAATATAAATTCTAGGCAGTTGAATTCTCTAGAAATTATGTGCATGAAAATTTTCAAATAAATGTGTTTGATTGATTTTATTTTCAACCTGAAAATGCTATACTTGTCTACTTTTTATTGGTGGATAGGTAGGAGAGATGGGATTGAGAAAATAGGAAGAGAGAGTGAACTACTTAGAAAATAAAAATTTACTCTCTAAAGAAAATATTTTTCTTATTTTAAAGATAATAGGGTCACGTGACTAAAAGTAGAAAAATATTTTTCATGAAAAAAATATCAATCTAACAACATTAAAGTAAAAATCAATTTTTATGAAAAATATTGACAATAAAACGAACTAACCTTTTAAACTCTATTGAAAAAGTGGAGTTAATTGTTTCAATGATCACTGAATCTAGATCCATATCTTTGATTGATTACTGAAATTTAAAATGTCGAGTTTTAGTCACTGGATTTAGGTCCATGGCTTTGATTGTTTATTGAAATTTAAAATATCGAATTTTGATCACTGAACTTTGAAAAATATTATATATTATTCACTATAAATTCGACATTTTTTAAAGTTCAACATTTATGCCAATGAGTAACGTACAACATTTTTCGAATTTCAGTGAACAAAACTCGATATTTTAAATTTCATTGAGTAATCGAAAATGTAGACTTAAGTTCAGTGACCAAAATTTGACATTTTAAATTTTAGTGACTAATTAAAGATATAGAATTAAGTTCATTGGAAATTGGAATAATTAATTCGAAAAAGTGTTAATTATCCAAAATTAGGAATGACAATTGGGCTCGTTGTCTCAGGTCGTCTATAGCTCGGCTCGAAAAAAGCTCGAGCCCGTCCTGCTCGAGGCTCGGGTCGAGCCCCATTTTGGGGTGCCAAGCAAAGTTTGAACCGACTTGTGTGGCTCGTCCGCTTGAGTTTACAAGCCTATATTTAAAAAAAATAAAATAAAATGTTTTAAAAGCAGCAGCAGCTACTTAAGTAGCAGGTTGCTGCTAAAAAAAAAAAATAATAATAAAATAAAAAGTGTGCCTGCCTGACTCAATTAGGAAAGGCCTCGAGCGAATGCTCGGATCAAGCCTAATTTTTTTGATCAAACTTTACTCAGGTCCAGAAAAGAGCTTGATTTCTTTATCCGAGTCGAGCCCAAACCTCGAATTTCGACTCGCACTGTAGCTATCCAGAATTGGGAATGGTCAACGAAACAGCACGACAACGCGTTTGTTGCCATTAATACAGTCAAAATCTTCCGAGCAAATAACCAACCCAACATCACCACCGTCAACAATGCTTTTGTCAAGTCCAAAGTCCAACCTCTGACTCACCAACACCGCCACCAGCCGCCCTACCCGCTACCATTTCAAAAACAAACCCAAAGTTTCAATCTTTTTTTCATATTACAATGAAAATGAAAGATTCGTAAATCTTTTCTATGCTATGGAGAACAACACGACAATTTCAGAAAATTCACTGGTTACCACAATCTGCAACTCAATTCAAACGCTGGGCCGTGGGTTCGATGTTACATCTGATATTAGGCTGCTGTACTGTAAAGGAGCACCTGGCTCTCGCTTAGTGCATATTGATGAAGAGCACACCAACAATCTTGAAATCTCTGAAAATCAGGTGATCCCAAATGTCTCTATTGACATCGAGTGCTCCAGAGGCCGGAGTTCCCCTGAGACCACCCCGGTTTGGCCCTTCCATGAGGTCAGTTTCCTTTTCTTGTACCCTTGTTTGCTTCAAATTTGATATTTTTATCTGGGCATTTTTGTTCTTATTGTTACTTCAGTTAATTCTGTTGATGTATTATTATCAATGGTTCTTGGTTCAATACGGGATGCTGTACTTGATAAAATTGTTGGTTATATTACTTTTTCACATTGATTTGAATTCAGGGAAACAATCTTTAATGAATTGACCTTAGAATGCATAAATCCTTTTGTTCTGATATGTGCTACTTTTACTCCGAGCTTTCAATCCGATACAACTAATCTACAGATCTTGATTCAGAAAATAGGTATATCGTGGAGAATCTAATGTTTTTAGTTTTTTTGTGTCTGAATTGTCACATTTGTTGGTTTCCCATTTCTCGTTTATGAAAGATGTTTCAATTTCCAGTTCTTTGGAGATGAATGGAAATTCAATTTGTGGTATTCTTGTGATTCTGGATGTTATTGTTGCTACCGGTTATCTGTCATTTATCGAATTTTTGAATTTGCCCATATCAAGAGTTAAATTAACACTTTTAACCAACTTATACTAGGAAAAACAAAATAAAAAATGGAATAAGAAAAAACTAAGATCGCATTTGGATTGGTGAATTTGAGATTGAATTTATTTCATAGCCTTATATTAAATAAATAGTGATTTAGATAATTTGATTGATTAAGAATGAAAATGATTTCAAAGGACATAGGTTTTATGCATTTGAATTTGTCACCGTGAATGATTAAAATGCATAAGCCAAAACATGACACAGAATCGATTCGAATCCGGTGGGAACTCAAAGCCATCAAAGCAAGTGACACAAATTTAAAATTCATCGGGAGTTCAATTTGTCAGATATAGCAGATCTAGATCATAATAAAGCGTTGAAGGAGTAAGAGTGCAATTTGAATATGGGCTGCCTTTCTGGGTCACGATTGTGTGAGTTCTCTAAGAGCGAGATCAGAGAAAAAATCAATCTTCAATTTGGGCAAAGCATGGGGCTAGCATCGGCCATGTCATGAAGGGCACTTGATAAACCCATTTATAGGTTCAAATCCTTCTGTTGAAAGGAACCTTAAACCTGGCCATTGTTTCTCTTAATTTACTGAAATTATTGCCCTTCATCTGTGCTCTAAAATGCCGCATTTGCATTTATTGTTACGCTTACTTAATTATGTGGAGATAAAATCTGCTTCTTTATAGAAAGTCGACTTGCAGCACATTGTGATTTTAATTAGTTTCTCCGGATACTTGTATTACAGATGGCAAAATACTTCAATGAAAAGTCTAATGTACCCGGACATGTGCCGCTTGGAAGCTTTAACGCTATGTTTAATTTCACTGGCTGTTGGCAACTTGATGCAGCAGCTACAAAATCCCTTGCAATGGTTGGACGTATCATGCCATTATTTAAGGTCAAATTAGCAAAATCGAATTTAGTTTTGCGTGATGACATCAAGTGTGCAGTTCCCTATTCTTGGGACCCCGCATCATTGGCAAGGTGAACATTATGAAAGTCTTCGCATATGAATTCTATTTATCTTTAATCCTTGTCACGTAAAATAAGTGAGTTTTTTCCATATATGACGTTTAATATAGAAGAGAAAATGGTCCTTGATATAGAAAATGTGACTGATTATGGAAGTTCTAACAGATGTATATCACCTTCAGGATGATAAATGTTATATCTTCAAGTCCTCGTTCCAAAATACGAGATATGGATTCTAAAGTGATGGGTTGTATGTAACTGTTGCAGTTTCTCTACTTGACGGCATTATTCAACAACCAAAATTATCTTTTTCATTTCTTTGGGGTGGGGGTATTTAGTGTTGCAGGATCATATAATTTTTTGAAAAGGTTGTCAAAAAATTTGAAGGACCAATATTGATGCATAATGAAAACTGTGGTCGATAGTGAATTATATGTATGTTTTTTTGAAAGCCCATTCATGACAAGGTAAGGGTTTTTAGGCCTACTTAAAAAATTATAGATGGTTATTTTCCATGCAGAAGCTGATGTTAGAGGGTTTATCATTTATGACTCGATACTTCTTCTTTCAGCTTTATTGAGAATTATGGCACACATATTGTCACCTCTGCAACAATTGGTGGAAGGGATGTGGTCTATATTAGACAGCACCAATCATCACCTTTGTCAGTGTCAGATATTGAAAACTACGTAAAAGACATAGGAGACCAGAGGTTCTCCGACTTAAAAAGCCATACAAATGCCGGCCCCTTAAAATACAAGGACAAGGTAAATACAGCAGCATCATTTTTTCTTCCCTGGGGAAAATCATTTGTCGCCTTACCGATCAAAAAGTGTCTACATATTTAATTAATCTTATAGAGCTCTTGGCTTTTGTTCATGTTTTCTTGTTCTAGAATAATTGTAATTGTTGTTGGGGGCCTCTATTCATCAATGCTTATTATCTGTCATGATTTTAAGAAGTTGATTAAAGCAATTTTTCTTGCTGCAGGATGTTACCGTGATCTTTAGAAGAAGAGGGGGGGATGACCTTGAGCAGAGTCATGCCAAGTGGGCCCAGACTGTAGAGGCAGCCCCAGATGTGATTAACATGACGTTTATGCCCATAGTCTCTTTGCTCGAAGGAGTTCCTGGAATAAATTACTTAAATCGTGCTATAGAATTATACTTGGAGTGTAAGATTCCGTCCTAATATATTTGGTACATTCTTAGAAAACGGATACAGGCTGTAGGAAAAAAAGGGTTTTGTATGTTTTGTTTTGGTGGCTTTCGAAAACTGCAAGGACACTATATAGCAGTTTCCTTCAACGTTTTCATTTTATTTTTGCATCTTGAGGAGGTATTAGATTAAAACCTTCAGGTTCTAATAACTGAAAGAATTTGGAGATTTGAGATGCAATGCAATATGACGGATGATTCTGTTAATATTTGAGATATTCTTGTACATTTTGTCGAGGAGTTCTTTTTTACTTCTTAACATCTTGAATTTTGCATAATGTTTCATTTTGTTTCTGCCAGACAAGCCTCCCATTGAGGATCTACAGTATTTCTTGGACTTCCAAATTTCTCGGGTTTGGGCTCCAGAGCAGAACAATCTACAGAGAAAGGAGCCTGTGTGTCCTTCCCTTCAGTTCAGTTTGATGGGTCCCAAGCTTTATATAAGGCCTGATCAGGTATGTAGTTCATTGTCTTGTTACTGTACTTAAGATATACAGCCAATTTAATATTCAGTTAAGCTACAAAATCCAGGAATTTCATCATCTTCTCCAGGAGGATAAGAAAGTTGTGTTTAGATTTATCTGTTTCAGTTTTCTAAGTCAAAACATCCTGGATATTGCAGGTGACAGTTGGGCGCAAACCAGTCACAGGCCTCAGACTCAGCCTAGAAGGCAGTAAGCATAATCGTCTTGCTATCCATTTACAACATCTGGTTTCTCTTCCCAAAATTCTTCAACCCCACTGGGATGCGCACGTGGCTATAGGTGCACCCAAGTGGCAGGGTCCCGAAGAGCAGGATAGCCGATGGTTTGAACCAATCAAGTGGAAAAATTTCTCGCATGTGAGCACTGCACCAATAGAGTATACTGATACATGCATTGGAGATCTATCTGGTGTTCACATTGTCACCGGTGCTCAGCTAGGCGTTTGGGATTTTGGCGCCAAAAGTGTATTACACCTTAAACTTCTCTTTTCCAAAGTACCAGGGTGTACAATAAGGCGTTCCGTGTGGGACCACACCCCCGCCAACTTGTCAGCTCCACAAAGACCTGATGGTTCATCAACTTCACTGTCAGACGGTTCAAATCAAATTGGGAAACTTGCAAAAATTGTGGATGCAACAGAAATGTCGAAAGGACCCCAAGACATGCCGGGTCACTGGCTGGTGACAGGAGCTAAGCTCGGGGTGGACAAGGGAAAAATTATGTTACGGATAAAGTACTCCCTATTGAACTACTGATAGATCATTGTGATAGGCAATTTATTTGTACCTGTTTTCGCTGGTTAGCTAACTCTTTAAGCATTTTTTTGCACAGGCAGCTGATTTATCTATTTTGCTGCACATTCTGTTGATATAGTTAATTCATTTTGCTTGAAAGTTGAAACTTTTGTTGTTGAATAGAATGAATGTTTTGTTTCTTCTGGGTCTCAACATCTTTCCTCTTTTATTCTAATACGTTGCTACTCATTTCTGTATTGTGATTTTTTCATATGAAATTTTCGTTGACGGTTTACATCAGAAACTAAACCTTTGAAACGAATTTCATTGACAATTTCAACATCATTTGCTTTATGATTGTTAGTCGCAATTCAATTATTGATTCTGGCTGCCGAATAATTGTAGTAATATTCTTGTGTGGGAATTCTGTATATGCTTTTAGGAACTGTTAATCATCATCAACAAAAAGAGCGTTGCTTTCTTGTCCCAATAAAAAAACAGGAAATAATTTTCAACAGCACAGTGGATTAGCTAGTTTCTGAAAGGGAAGATTACAGAATAGAATAATCACTTTGAGAGGATGGGTGGGGTTTCAAATAGTTTTGTACATGTAGCGAGCAGCGGTCTGTTTGGACATACTAATGATGAATAATAAGATGATTAAGAATATATGTGTCCAAGAAAATGATGTATTAAAAATGTTGAAGAAAGGGACAGCACGGAAGTCAGTTTTTCAGAAGTGATATATTCTGTGTTAATTGCCCTTCGGCTCAATATCCTTTTATCGTCTTGGCACAAGGATGGATAGTGGTGTCAAATTGAGTCGAGCCAACCAGGTGAATGGTGACCTGGCTACTTGGCCTGGTGGCTGGCCGGCCAGGACGAGTTAAAGGAACAGAGTAATGGGCCCCAGGGAGATAGGCATGTAGGTGCTACCCTACCATCCAGGATGGTCCTGCAAGCCAAGACGAGCATTACAGGCTTGGTCCAGCCTGTCACAATACCCGGACTGGTTCAAGCCCGTGCATAGGTCATCCTAGGCCTATTTAAACTGACTGATTCGGCTCATTTGACACCTCTAGAGCAGTAGAGACACAATATTTTCTCTTTCAAACTTGAATTATACCCAGATTAGCTCCTAAATTGTAAATCAATCAATTACCCTGCAAGATTTTCACTTTTAAGTTCAGTTTTGTCAAGAGTTCACTTTGGTAGCAACGATGTTTTTTTATAACACTAATTTCATTGGTGACAAATATATATTGTTCTAAATGTAGCTATTGACAGCTGAGAAAATGATATAAAATCTTAGTTTAACCAAAAGCTGATGCTGAAGTGAAGCTACCGGTTGTCTGCAAAATGCTGAGAGGTATTAAACAGCATATAAAGCGGCAGTGGGAAGCAGGATATGACGGACATTCTTATTTTATAACATTTCACAAATAATGATTGCAGTTGAAGGTTTCAACAGAATCTTCCCCTCCAACTTGCAAAATTCCTCGAGTCTGTCCGGGGATGTTCAGACAAAAAGGAATTATTTCCTTTAGAAGTATACTTAATGGTCAACATCAAGCACATTTTTTGGCAATCATTATTCTTATACTAATGTTCTATTTATATTTAACTACATTCAATTAGCTTCACCATTCTTCCCACTTCTCGTCTTCGTATCAGCATTAGATTCTCAGTTGATCATGGTACATCGATATTTTTCACATGCCTTGTCAATATTTACAGCTTCAAGTTTTCTTGAATTCAATCCTGATATTCCTCTTATTCTGCAGGATAAAGCTGAACTTATTGACGGAAAGGTGGATTGGAAAGGAAGAACTGCAACGAAAGATAAGCATGGTGGATTTCGCACTTCTTTGCTCATACTAGGTAATAACTTTGCTGCATGCATTAAACCAATTCGAAAGTCTATTAAGATAATTGTATTCTACATTCTTGATCTAAATAGGTTTCTGTTTTATGTTACAGGTACTTTTGCTTTCGAGAACATGGCAACCTTGGCTTTGGGTGTTAATTTGGTGACATACTTTAATGCGGTGATGCACTTTAGCGTGGCTGATGCAGCAAACCACCTGACAAACTTCATGGGGACTAATTATATAATTACCATCCTCGTTGCCTTCCTAGCAGACACTTATTTAGGCCGATATAAAGCAGTTCTCATTGCAGCAATAATCGAGTTTTTGGTGAGCATATTCTTAATTGAAAACAAGCATCCTCGAGTACCTTCTCCTCGTAATACTGGTGGTATGAAAAGAGAAGAAAAGATTCAATTCTTTGATTGATAAAAAATAATCCACGTGCAGGGACTTGGAATGCTAGCGTTGCAAGCTCACTATCCTAAATTCAAGCCCCCACTCTGCAATATTTATGATCCAACATCAACAAACTGTATTCAAGTTAATGGTGGTAATGCCGCTCTTCTGTTTATCGCTCTTTACTTGATATCATTTGGCTCTGGAGGAGTGAAAGCGGCGTTGCCATCTCATGGCGCCGATCAATTCGATGATAAAGATCCGAAGGAGGCAAGACAGATGTCAAGCTTTTTCAATTGGCTCTTAATGGCAGTATGCGTAGGTGGTGCTATTAGCTTAACGTTTATTGTCTGGATTCAAGATCATAAAGGGTGGGATTTGGGTTTTACCGTTTGCGCCATTGCTATGTTACTGGGAGTAATAATCTTTGCTTCTGGATTACCACAGTATCGTTTCCATGTTATTCATGGGAACAGTGCCCTTACTGAAATTGTTCAGGTGCTCATACAACTTAGTTTTTACCGTTCTTTGCAAAGTAAATATATCACTTACGCATTTTATACGCTAATTTTGTTTGCCTAATCTTGTTGATAATAGGTTTATGTTGCAGCTGCTCGCAACAGAAATCTTCAGCTTCCTGAGGACTCTAATGAACTGTATGAGATCAATATGGACAAGGAAGCTGCCATTGAAGCAGAATTTCTACCTCATACCAATGTTTTCAGGTCGCCTGCCTAACAAGTATCATGATAATGCATGGACTTTATTAAGACAGAAGAAGAAGCTAAAATCGTGTCCATTATTCTATTGAATATTGCGAGCATTCAGTGAATTTTATTTTATTTTTTTAATTTTTTTTTAATTTTTGGAGAATGAGTTGTTAAAATGTAAAGAAACATTACGGGTTTCTTTGCAAAATTATTTTATTGGAAGAACGTATAGTCAAAAACAAGTTTGTGAAAAAAGGATTTTGAAATAAGCTTTACAAAACAAATGCTTATATATTCTTGGTAATTTTTATTATCAGATTCCTGGACAAAGCGGCCATCCAGACATCTGCAACACAGACTGAAACACCAAATCCATGGAAACTTTGCAGAGTGACTCAAGTGGAGAATGCAAAAATTTTACTGAACATGATTCCAGTCTTCTGTTGCACAGTAATTATGACTCTTTGCTTGGCTCAACTGCAAACCTTCTCCATTCATCAAGGTTCAACCATGGACACAAGAATCACCAAATCCTTCAACATCCCACCCGCTTCACTACCCATCCTTCCTGTCGTGTTTTTGATATTCCTCGTCCCGCTATACGACCAAATAATCGTCCCATGTGCACGTAAGTTCACAGGTATTCCCACCGGCATAACATACCTGCAACGAGTAGGAGTAGGCCTCGTTCTATCCTCCTTGTCCATGGCAGTGGCAGCAATAATGGAAGTAAAAAGAAAAAAGGTTGCAAGAGACCACGACATGCTTGATGCAACACCAATACTGCAGCCATTGCCGATCAGTGTCTTCTGGTTATCAATTCAGTATTTCATATTCGGGATAGCTGACATGTTCACTTATGTGGGACTTCTGGAATTCTTCTATTCCCAAACTCCAAAGGATCTTAAATCGATTTCGAGTTCTTTCCTTTGGTGTTCTATGTCGGTGGGATACTTCCTTAGCACCATAGTTGTGAACATAGTGAACCATGCAACGAAGGATATTACGCGCAGTGGAGGTTGGCTGGCCGGAAACAACTTTAACCGAAACCATTTGAACCTTTTCTACTGGTTGCTTTCTTTGATGAGCTTGTTGAATTTCTTCATCTATCTCTTTGTTTCTAAGAGGTACAAGTACAGGAAAGAGGGCTATGAAGTTCAAATCAATGGGAATGGAGTACATGAGTTGCAGAATAAAGAAGATGGAAAATAGTCGTATAGAAAAGCTCGTCTCTTTAATCAGTTTAATTTCTTGGAATATCTTCTGTAAGTTTGGTTTTGTTCTTGAATAGAAAAAGTTTGGTTTTGTTCTTGAATAGAAATTTCGTAATGTGGGCATGCAGTGCAGGCAAATACAGTACTGGATTCTTGAAATGACATGTGGCCCCCTTTTGGTTCAACTAGAAGTCTTGAATAATATTAAGTCAATGTTGTTGGGTTTTTTTGATACCTAATAAATCTCGAGTTATGATATTAATATGGGATAATATATTTCATAAGTTTAGGCCGATGAATGAAATAAGTCCAACAACCAGTCCATGAGCTCCACCCGATCTAATTGTATTCTCTTTTGGATGACTTAAATCTTGGTCCGTTTACCTTTTTTTTTTGGTCAAATTAAAAGCCTAACCCTAGACCATTTATAAGACTACAACCCTAGCTATTTTCTAGTGTGATTTGTGAGAAAATAAAAGGAGAACTCGGTTGCCCCTTAAAGTTTGTGAAAAACAGTCTCTTGAAGTGGTTTTGCCATAGCGTACCTTTGTAGTATTTTTTTCTTGTCTTTGTGGTTGCAAATCATCACCATCTCTTGTTTTTTGTGGGTAATACTGAATAGCAATCGATGTGAATTACATTGGTTGTGGATCGGGACAGTTTTGGTTTAGTTGTTTGATAGAAAAACAAACGTTGGACTGAATCCAAAAAACACCGATTTGAAAATCCTTGGAGAGAGCTTCCACAGCAAATGTCAATAATTAATTTTAGAATAATGCTGTTTTCAGTATCTTACTATCGCTGTCGTTCTACGTGATATACATATGATAGTTAGTAATTTGATATATGAGGTAACAAAAATAATTCCGCTACATGTACAACTTCATATACAGTGCTGACGTGAAAAATGGAAAGAAAAAAAAGGCAAAATAGCCTGTTTTGCAGTTGGTGACCCGACTAAAGCCCTATTTCTTCTCCAAATTGAATCACTCTCCCATTTACAAAAAATAAAGCAGAGACCACTATAATTCTAGGCACAACCCAAATAATCACCACCTCCGATCGCCGCCTGAACTGTAAGAGAAGTCAATCGTGGTCGGTGAGAGAAAAAAGGGCAGCAACTATGTGAGTTGTGGTTTTTTGGTTTTAAATTTTTTCCCCCAACCTCTCAATGTATATGTGAGTTTTTTGTTCGATGTATGTGTGAGTTTTTTAGAGTGATTGGAGAATCTGCCGAGGGATTAGTTTTGCATCGGGGTTAGTTGAATTTGTGTTAGCAAATGTTTTGCACAAATTTGATTGGGAACAACCCGATGGAGCAAAATGGGAGAACATGGATATCGCCGAACAATGAGGTCTCATAATTGGAAGAAAAGATCCACTCATTGCTGTTGCGATTCCTCATGATTCCTAAATTAATTTGTCTTCAAGTTCAAATACTTCCTGGGCAAGGTTCTCCTGCCACTCCCAAACTAAATCCCAGCAACTCAGTCTTGATTTTGCTCACATCATTTTCTCTGAAATTGTTTGCAAACATCGATTAATATATCTGCGTTTGGATTTGGCAGCTTCAGAATTTTTTTGTAAATTTTGTTAAATTGTTTTGGTTTGGACAGCCGTGGATCCTAAACCATAGAGTTGATTCCCGTAATTGTGATGCTCAACTGCAAACCTTCTCCATTCATCAAGGTTCAACCATGGACACAAGAATCACCAAATCCTTCAACATCCCACCCGCTTCACTACCCATCCTTCCTGTCGTGTTTTTGATATTCCTCGTCCCGCTATACGACCAAATAATCGTCCCATGTGCACGTAAGTTCACAGGTATTCCCACCGGCATAACATACCTGCAACGAGTAGGAGTAGGCCTCGTTCTATCCTCCTTGTCCATGGCAGTGGCAGCAATAATGGAAGTAAAAAGAAAAAAGGTTGCAAGAGACCACGACATGCTTGATGCAACACCAATACTGCAGCCATTGCCGATCAGTGTCTTCTGGTTATCAATTCAGTATTTCATATTCGGGATAGCTGACATGTTCACTTATGTGGGACTTCTGGAATTCTTCTATTCCCAAACTCCAAAGGATCTTAAATCGATTTCGAGTTCTTTCCTTTGGTGTTCTATGTCGGTGGGATACTTCCTTAGCACCATAGTTGTGAACATAGTGAACCATGCAACGAAGGATATTACGCGCAGTGGAGGTTGGCTGGCCGGAAACAACTTTAACCGAAACCATTTGAACCTTTTCTACTGGTTGCTTTCTTTGATGAGCTTGTTGAATTTCTTCATCTATCTCTTTGTTTCTAAGAGGTACAAGTACAGGAAAGAGGGCTATGAAGTTCAAATCAATGGGAATGGAGTACATGAGTTGCAGAATAAAGAAGATGGAAAATAGTCGTATAGAAAAGCTCGTCTCTTTAATCAGTTTAATTTCTTGGAATATCTTCTGTAAGTTTGGTTTTGTTCTTGAATAGAAAAAGTTTGGTTTTGTTCTTGAATAGAAATTTCGTAATGTGGGCATGCAGTGCAGGCAAATACAGTACTGGATTCTTGAAATGAAATGTGGCCCCCTTTTGGTTCAACTAGAAGTCTTGAATAATATTAAGTCAATGTTGTTGTGTTTTTTTATACCTAATAAATCTCGAGTTATGATGTTAATATGGGATAATATATTTCATAAGTTTAGGCCGATGAATGAAATAAGTCCAACAACCAGTCCATGAGCTCCACCCGATCTAATTGTATTCTCTTTTGGATGACTTAAATCTTGGTCCGTTTACCTTTTTTTTTTTTGTCAAATTAAAAGCCTAACCCTAGACCATTTATAAGACTACAACCCTAGCTATTTTCTAGTGTGATTTGTGAGAAAATAAAAGGAGAACTCGGTTGCCCCTTAAAGTTTGTGAAAAATAGTCTCTTGAAGTGGTTTTGCCATAGCGTACCTTTGTAGTATTTTTTTCTTGTCTTTGTGGTTGCAAATCATGACCATCTCTTGTTTTTTGTGGGTAATACTGAATAGCAATCGATGTGAATTACATTGGTTGTGGATCGGGACATTTTTGGTTTAGTTGTTTGATAGAAAAACAAACGTTGGACTGAATCCGAAAAACACCGATTTGAAAATCCTTGGAGAGAGCTTCCGCAGCAAATGTCAATAATTAATTTTAGAATAATGTTGTTTTCAGTATCTTACTATCGCTGTCGTTCTACGTGATATACATATGATAGTTAGTAATTTGATATATGAGGTAACAAAAATAATTCCGCTACATGTACAACTTCATATACAGTGCTGACGTGAAAAATGGAAAGAAAAAAAGGCAAAATAGCCTGTTTTGCAGTTGGTGACCCGACTAAAGCCCTATTTCTTCTCCAAATTGAATCACTCTCCCATTTACAAAAAATAAAGCAGAGACCACTATAATTCTAGGCACAACCCAAATAATCACCACCTCCGATCGCCGCCTGAACTGTAAGAGAAGTCAATCGTGGTCGGTGAGAGAAAAAAGGGCAGCAACTATGTGAGTTGTGGTTTTTTGGTTTTAAATTTTTTCCCCCAACCTCTCAATGTATATGTGAGTTTTTTGTTCGATGTATGTGTGAGTTTTTGAGAGTGATTGGAGAATCTGCCGAGGGATTAGTTTTGCATCGGGGTTAGTTGAATTTGTGTTAGCAAATGTTTTGCACAAATTTGATTGGGAACAACCCGATGGAGCAAAATGGGAGAACATGGATATCGCCGAACAATGAGGTCTCATAATTGGAAGAAAAGATCCACTCATTGCTGTTGCGATTCCTCATGATTCCTAAATTAATTTGTCTTCAAGTTCAAATACTTCCTGGGCAAGGTTCTCCTGCCACTCCCAAACTAAATCCCAGCAACTCAGTCTTGATTTTGCTCACATCATTTTCTCTGAAATTGTTTGCAAACATCGATTAATATATCTGCGTTTGGATTTGGCAGCTTCAGAATTTTTTTGTAAATTTTGTTAAATTGTTTTGGTTTGGACAGCCGTGGATCCTAAACCATAGAGTTGATTCCCGTAATTGTGATGGAAGCATTAGTTGTATATTTAAAATTTGCTTAGTCTTTCCAACATAGCTTGATGGTCGCACTAGGTACTTATTTGAACTGAAGCAGCATTCTTAAGAATTTGTGATACTAATGTGGTTACATGTTGATGTGGTTGTATTAGATAAGTTCGATGGCAGAAAAGAATAGGGGAATATATCATTGCTGTAGACAGAGGGTACATATGAGATGTCAAAAGGGTCGAGTCGGATCGACTCGTCAAAATAAGGCTCGTGGGTGGCTCGGGCTCTAAAATCACGAGCCCGAGCGCGAGCCGAGCTTGAAGGTGAGCCGCTTGTGGGCTCGTTAAAATGAAGAGCCGCTCGTGACTTTAGTGACCAAAACGGTCACTTTTTAAAAAAAGTGACCGTTTAATCACTACTTTTCATTTTTCAACTCTCTTTTATTATATCAATTATCGAGTTTTTACTCTTTTGTGTTGCAAAATATACAATATCAATTCATTTTTTTACAATTTATTCAGTTACAATTTCAATTCATTCAATTTTCAATTCTCACTACATTTATATTTTTCTAGTTATTATATATGAATTTCATCATAAACAATCAAACAAATGGATCAATGCTCATTTGTTGAGAATTTATTTGATACGGGATGTGAGCCACATGGCGAATCGCCTAGGACGTCGCAAAGTCAATTACCAAATGAATTTGCCGGTCTAAATGGTGTACACATACCTGAAGATGTTCACATTCACGGTCATAGAAGTTACAATCCAATTGATTTGGATGATATTAACGTTTCTAAAGCGGAACATGAGGATGAAGATGTCGAATTAAACATCCCAGATGTGAGGGGAAAGTGAAAGGGCAAAAACAAGCAAAATGTTGTGATCACTTTAAGTTGATTTCAACGGAAAAAGTCGTCGATGGCCTTGTAGAATCTAAGGTAGTATTTACATACTGCCAACAAATATTGACATGACAAAAAGGAATTGGTACTACACATCTCAACCGCCACTACAAAGTATATGCGGCCAGACATGAACTTCTTTCAGCTGGTCAAATACAATTGCAATTTGGCAGTCCAGGCGTCGGTTCTACGACTTTACCCCTATCCACGTGGGTGTATTCGGAGGACAATACTCGAACTGGAATTGTGAAATTTGTTGTTGTCACTGAGTTGCCTCTGGTTGTTGCAGACAACCAACACTTCGTCTCGTTCATAAAAGAATATTTGCAACCAAGATACGTTGAGATAAGTCGAAACACTCTTCGTGCTGATACAATACAATATTTCAATAATTCAAAAAAATAATTAATTATGGATTTGTAACAATATGGGGGGGGGGGGGATATCTTTAACTTCTGATATATGGGAAGGGATTAATAAAAGAGCATATATAGCTGTAACCGCACACTATATGGACTCACTTTGATGCATGCATAAAAAAAATTATTGCTTTTAGAATTATTGAGTTTCCTCACAATTCTAATAATATATATAATGCTATTATCAGTATTATTAGAGAATATATACGAGACTAAAATTCGGTCTTTTACTTTTGATAATGGTAGTGTTAATAAGGTAGTCGTCGATAAATTGTGTAGGACACTTCAACCTAATTTTGGCGGGTATTTGTTTCATATTCGTTGTGTGAGCCATATCTTGAATTTAATTGTGCAAGATGTCTTAAAACATATAAATGATAAATTTCAAAGGATTAGGAATTCATTAATATATATTACGATTTCTTCTAGTAGAAAATAAGCATTTGAAAAATTTTGTGCCGAATTAGAGGTGACGACTGCTAAAACATTTGTTAGCGACGTAGGTCGTAGATGGAACTTTACTTACTTGCTATTAAAGTCATGTGAATGTTTCGAATATTTAATAACTGACTTTTATAACAATAGACACGTTAGAAGTGATGACGATGGTATGTTGAATAAATCCGATTGGGTTTTAGTTTTGAAAGTTAAACGATTTTTGACATCTTTTTATGAGACTACAAAGATTTTATTCGGTGTTTATTATATTACTAGATGTCTGGTGCTTGAATGCCTTTATATAATTGCAAGAACATTCCATAAATATAAAAATGATCTTGCTTTTAGTGAAATTATAATTGATAGGGAATTAAAGTTTAGAAAATATTGGGAAGAACTGCTTATGTTATTTCCTTTAGTATGCGTAATGGACTCTCGATATAATATTTCGGGAACTAAATATGTAATTGATCAAATCAATAAAGCCTTAATACTTGATACACCTATCACTTATAAGAATTTAGAGCAAACATTATGTGGAATGTATGAGTTTTATGCGGAAAGAATGGGTGTGAATGTTAGTCGGGTACTCTCTGCATCTACTCCTTCGGCTGAAATTGAAGAAGATGATGCTGAAATAATGAATTTATTTCAAGGCATTAATATATTTAGATATGATGTTACTGCAATGTGTTCATCTAGTGCCATGTCGTCTACAATTGTATCTCATCAAACATTAACTGCAATTCAAAATGCGATGCCTGTCGAATTGATTGATTACTTCAATCATAATATGCCAATAGACAGAACAATTAAAAAAGTTCATAAGAAGTAATTGAATTTTGGCAAAAGTATGAAAGACGTTAGCCAATTGTTTCTGCAATTGAGAAAAAATTTGCTGACACCTCCAGTTAGCACTGTTGCTTTGGAGTCTGCTTTTAGTGCATGTAAAAGAGTTTTGAACGATGTCAGGAGTCGACTGAAAGAAAATGTTTTGAAATCGTTAATGTGCGTGAAGGATTGGTAGGACGTTCATTTTCGACTACAAGATAAATACGCTGAAATTGTATGTTGTCAGGTAAGTGATATTTGATTTAATTATATTAATCAAAATTTCCTTATTTCTTAATCGTTAAATTTAATTTTTTTTAAAAATTGTAAACGTTACAATAAGTTGTTTATGTACAATTTTTAACTCCGCTCACTTAAAATTGATGTAGTCGGTCCTAAACCCGGATAAAGGAGGAAGGTTTACATTTTGTCTACTTTAAAAAGAAATCGAAAAAAATGTATTTTTTGTAAATCTATTTCAAACAACAATTCGTCTCCATTATATAAATATTTTATACTTTATAAAAAATATTATAATATGATAGAAATAAAAAGAAAAAAGTGTCTTTATTAAATTATTTGTATTTTTTAACACTTTTTATTTTTTTTTAAAACGTGTTTTCATTACATTATTTGTGTTTTTCTCTATTTAAAAAAAAACTAAAAATAAAAAGATGATGAGCTCGTGAGCTAAAGCTCGGCTCGGCCCACGAGCTCGCCCAAAATCAATGAGCCGAGCTCGAGAGGTTAAGGGCCGAGCG